GTGGTTTTAAATAAGTTTTCCATCATACCAGTCCTATGGCTCCCTAGTCTGTTTCATCAGATACTAAAGAAGATTCACAGCGATCAAAGGTCTCTCCAGCTACATGAGAGCTGGTTTTGTCACTCTACACTTAAATGGAAACTACAGGTACACCAATTATTATTCTAATTAGTGAAGGCTTCCTTATAAGTACAGTTGTCATGCCAAGAAACTAGAGCAGCTGGTATGTAAAGCAGCAGAGTGCAAGCTAGCGACCAAAGCCTATAGTTTGCCCGTCCATTTAGGTAGTGTTTAAACCAAGGGATGAACTTTCTGAACAAGATAGTACTCTGCATAATACATTTGTTTTAAACCTCTACTGGATTCAGCAGGCATTAGTTCTACAATTTAATCCAGACTTTTACTGAAATCCTTTGTGCAAAACTAGCGCTAGCTGTTTTAGCGGACAGCAGCTTGAAATTTATGTTCTCACTTTACAATAAAGCAGATTTTTTTTTTTTTCAATAGCTAAAATAAATAACTAAAAAAATATAATCAATGTATGTCAACTCAAGTCTTCTATTTGTCTTAGTCAATTCCCAATAATCAATATATAAGGTTTGAGCTCCAGAAATGCAATAATTCCTGCTGGTCTGCTTCAAGTTGAAGAAATTACATAAATTTTAACATTTTTTTATTTTTATTTTTTTTCATGTTAAAGGTACACTATGCAACCGGTGTTGATTTTCCAGCGAGGCTCCCCCCAGAGGGCGAAAGTAAAAGTGCACTGTCGTAAATATGCACAGCTGTTCTCCTGGTTTCTCCGTCAAGCCAGGCGCGGTTGTTTTGAGCTTAGCAGACAGGCGAACGCAACGAATGCACACACTGGACGCAGCTGGCGTGACAGAAGCAGCGAGTTTACATGCAAAGTCAATGGTTGACGCACGTCAAGGCGCAGCAAAAGGTCCCGCAGCGCGTCTGAACAGCTGAAGCAGCGCGTCGGGCGCGTTTAATCATCTGACGCAGGGAGAGAGACACAGCGCTGATGATCACTCCTCTTAAACAGTTTATTGACACCTAAATTAACTTAAAATGCAGAAATCTGCTGGCAGAATATGTTGGCTTTTATTATCCTGCTGCCTGCAGTTTGGATTATTTAGGTGAAAAACACCTACCAGCTGCCCCGGTGAACCGCGAGGAGGTGACCCGGCCAGAGGCTGCTGATGAAGGGATTCCGACTGTCGGCGCACCGCTGGTATGTGGGGGTCTGAGCGGCTCCGACAGAAAAAATATTGAAGGCAGGATGATAATCTGAATGAACTGACTGCACTGATTACGTTTTCAGGTGTATTTTCTCACTTAAACACATATTAAAACTACTTTATTCCCACTGATCACAGCAAATATAGCTGCAAGGCTGAGAAAGGATAGTGAAGCTCCGCCCAACGCGCGTCAGACACACTTTTGCACCACGCAGCCAGAGCAGCAAAGCTGCTTCACCGCGCGCGTCAGAACTAACTGGTACAAGCAGCAAAAAGGAAGCAGCAGACGCAATTTTGCTGCGTCCGATGTGAACGTAGCATAACTGCACAAAGATCGCCACTGTGCTAGCAACGAGCATGCTTTTAACTGGGGGGGTAACTAGCAGTTCTCGCCGTAAAGCAAGACTGACTCTCGTGAGACTTCTGAGCCTGTGGGTGCGGGTCGGTGCTCCTGCAATTGCAAGTGCAGTATTTCCCCCACAGACCACCGGGGCGGCAGAGAATATCTTTGTTCAACCTGAAATGACTCATTTAATCATCCAAAACGTTATGGAACACATTAATTAACTGAAAAATGTTGCATAGTGTGCCTTTAATGGGCTTCAGTTCTTCTTTCAGATGACGGAATCTGTCAAATGTGTTTCAGAAACAGACTATTGTGAGAACCAACCTGATTGGACCGTTATGAAGAACAGCTTCACCCACCTAAGCTGTGGATCTCTGTAGCTCCACCACAGTTACCTCAGGCCACTCCTTGATTAGTTCCCTCCCTACCTTGTTCATATGTCCGTAGCTATTTTTACATAACGAAGACAATGGAATTATGAATTATTATGTTTCTGATTATCAAATAAGTACAAGTGAAATATGCTGCAGGATTTGATTGTGAGGTCATGAAATGTGAAAACTTCCAATTGTCTGAAAGGAATAGCAATTCCTTATTTTTCCGACAGTGATCCAGGCTTGATAGTGGTAGAAAAACAACTACACAGGACACACCAGACTAACACACAAGGTTAGATCATATAAATAAAATACTAATTAGGGATGGTTTAAATATAATTTCAGGTCTAGGTCATATTAGGAGATGAAAGGACTAGATAAGCTAGCTTCTAAGACCTTTGTTGCAAAATGTATAAATGAGAAACTGCTGTCCGGTTTACTTCACCATGTGAGCTAGGAAAAAAATGACCGGGGTCAGACAAAACCTACCATATGATATAATTCTACTTTACAAAGAGAAGTAACAATTCAAAAATGAACGGCAGTCGATTGTCCATGCAGCTTAATTGTTAAAGTGTCCTGTTGGACATTCAAGCTGTCAGCACTGCCTTTAACAGGGAGAATGGAGCCATCTAACTGCATATGGTGAGGCCACAGGCTCGCTGGAGACACCTCTTAAAATTTATCACACGCTGCTTTACATGGAATGTCACACTTCAGGGTGCAATACAGTTCACCTAATCAACTGACAGCAGGCCACAGAAAACACACTCACAAACTGCACCGGATATTCTGCAGCTTGAGCATAATGAATACAAACATGTCTGCGTCTGATAAGGTGCTTCATTTAGAGGATGTTCTGGAGTTTCTGAAACATGAAAGTGGGAGACTAGAAGCTTTCTTCTACCTTTTCCAATTTCTACAGCAAATTCTCCAACCTGATTACCTATTTTCCTGAAAAATATGACATCACGTTTATTGCAACTTGCATAAAGTGAATCGGTGTGCTGCTACCAAAGTGCAAACAGTATGTTAAAAATTACTCATAAAACTGAAGATCAAAGGAAAACAAGAACAGTGAAGAGCTATTTTACATATCTAGAGGAAGGAATGCCCTTACTTAAGAAGCCAACACCTCATAAAGAGAGAAAAACTCCCTGGGTGATTTTGTTTAGGCTTGCAGGCTGTAGACATTTGACAAATACCCTGTAAATGAACCCAAATTTATTCATCCATTTGTTTCAAGAAGTAAATTGGAACTGAGGTTCATCAAACTTATCAATTTAATATTAACAAATTTCCAGAATGTTTTTAAATATCTCAGTTAATCTAAGTCCATTATACTCAAATGTGATGCATTTTTTCTGCATGTCCAGGATTCATAGTTAGTTTGCAATGAGCCCTAAAACTGCACATATTTTCACCCCCACGAAATTCACCCATTACAGACAAAGAAAGTCCATGTCCAGGTGGATTTATATTTGTTAATTTAAGGATGCACATTTCATAAGCCATTGCAGTTTTTTACTAAATTAACCATAGAATTAAGCTAACTACCCTCGCCGGATGAAAAAAACTTTGCAGATTTAGTGTCTTGATACGACTGCTAACCAGTGGGTATTAAAGCATCGTAGTATAACATATAAGCATTTTGATTTGTAAATACCTTTTTACTGAATCCTTAAATAAGATTTTTCAAACAACTTTCCATATTTTCTTATTAAATATACATGTAATATGTTTTAAAGGCTTCCATTGTTGAGGTAAGGTGTACTTATTTTCTTTTCAGCCATAAAAAGATTGTTTACAAGGCCAAGCTGAAAACATTGATTACAGACTTGCTTACTTAGGTCCCAGAAAACACTGAATACCTAGAGGGAGCTCCCTTTGTGTAAATTACTGCATCAGTGAGGCAATCACCTTGTCTCTTCTCGGTTCCTCTTACCTTCTTAAAGTTAGAGTAGAGGATGTTTGCAAATTTTTTGAAAAGCACATGCACAACCTTGTATCACTCCTTAGAGGGAGCGCCTATTAAACGCGTGCAAGAGCACGCACAAGCCAATTTCTCCTTGTGAACACAAAAAGTTGCTGTTTGCCCATAAAAAAAGATAAATAAATCAATAATCAAATAACACTATTCTTTAGAATCAGAGTTTTTGGCTTATGCTGGATAATTTTAACAACTGCCTGCAGGACACCACCAGAACAGTAGTCTTCCCCATGGTTTGTGTAGGCTGTAATATGACCAACATCCAACACTTCTGTGTTGACAAATATATTTGTACTAGTTATATGAAATGTTCTAATGCTTTGAGAAACTGGATTTTGATAATTATTCTATTGTCTTTAACCTATAATCTTCAAAATTATGAGAAATAAATTGAAACACACCCCAAAAAATTACGATTTCACTATTACAATTTTGTATTCAATCTACATTATGAAAAGCGTTTTTTTTTGTTTTTTTTTTATTCCAGACTTTGAGGTCTAATGTTTGGCACCTTTTAAATGTATTCCTGCTTCCACACGCCTGAATCAAATGAATGAATTACATTCTCTTTTCTACAAATTCCTGCTTATTATTTAATTATTTCACTCAGATATATGTCTCTACTTTAATACACCCAGGACACCAAACGCACCTTAAGGAGTATAACAGATGAAACCTGATATACAGATTTCACTCTTTGAATTTATCAACTGCAGTGCTTTAATTTTGAGCCGACATTCTAAGTGATAGACCTGCATGTTTTGTTATTATATTATGGTCAGTCTGCTCACAGAATGCGGTCATGGAGCCATTCAGCACTTGAGCTCAGCAAGGGCATATGCTCCTGGTCCATTTTTCATCTACAGCCAGCAACTCACAAGTCTGGGGTTGAAGAGGGAGCAGGGGGATGGGGAGGGCTGGTATGCTGACCAGCTTCAGTCTAGACGGTTCAATACGCAGTTGACTTTTTAAACCCGCTTGTCTGGAAAGAGAGCAGTCATGAGGTAAGAGGAGGGGGGGAGCTGCAGCAGAGAAGTAGCAGCAGTGTATTTTGTCTGCCGTAGACAGGGTGGATGTGCTCAGAGCCAGCAAAGATAGGAAAGAAGATAAGAAGAAAAAAAAGGGTGAAAAAAAAGGATGGCTAAAAAACAAGCGAGCGGGAGAAGAAGAGGAGAGAGAAGGAGACAGTGTTGTGGGAGCTGTGAGAGTCACTAGGCTGTGGCTCCATTGTCAAGGTCAGTGAGCTGCGGTGCCCCCCCACATCCCCATCTACTCTCTTGCTGTTCATCTCCTTTCCTCCAGCGGAGCACCTCCATCACTCATCTACACAGCCAGCATAGACGGGGGGAATATAATCTAAATCACAGCAACATGCATCCACATACAGATACAATCATAACACACCCTGCATTGCCTAAACTTTCATGTTTTAGGAAGGTTAGGAATAAAAAAATGATCTACCCGTAATAAATTCTAGAACATTTAAAGAGAATTGGTTTTATACACAAAAAATAAAAAGCTTTTAAACAATTTAGGAAATAAATGATAAAATGATGGCTCTGTATACGTCTAATTGGTTATTTTACTGCATATTATTTGAGGTCCTGTCATCTTACTGCGAGGTTTGTTTCACATTTTAATGGATAACCACCTCCACATGAATGCTTTTCTTTCATTTCTTCTGCAAAGATGGGTTCTGGAGCCTTCCTGTGACTCGCTGAAGACAAAAATAAAGAAGGATAAAAAAAAGGATTTTCCCATTACGACTGTCATTACATCTGAAGGAAAAGGGGAAAGCTTAAGAAGACAGTCCTAATCAGAAAGTATGTGGGCCAAAGGAACATGTGTGAGTGTTTTGCTGCAGGAGGAACTAGTGACAAAACACATGTTAATCATAAAGATTTAAATCAATATCACAAATAACAAGAAAGAAGCAAAATCTTGGGCAAAAATTTGTCTTTTATATAAACAATAACCATAACCACAGGACCAAGTTAATTAAGACATCGGTTAAGGACATGTTGGCCTGTTGGATGCAGGAGTTTGCCCTGCAACTGGAGGGTTGTCGGATCGAGCCCCAGCTCTGGCTTTTGGGTCTTTGTGTCCTCGGGCAAGACACTTCACCTGCATTGCAGCTGTGGCAACAACCTAGCTTGCCACCATCAGTGTGTGTGAATGGGTGAGTGCCTAAATATAGTGTAAAACCCTTTGCTCAAGTCTCCTAACTTGAAAAAAGTCCTCTACAAGTGCAGGCCATTAACCATTTAAAGAGGCCATCACTAGGATCTGACCTCAGTCCTTTAGAAAGCAGGAAGCCCTTTTGCTGGACAAAAATTGGACATTATTTGTTTTCCTTTAGTACAGTTCACTTTCAAAACATACTTTTCGCAACTTGCAAACAAAGCCATGCCACTATCTTTGCCACCACTGGACAGGAATGGCTAGGATGGGAAAAAGTTCAGATCCAGAAAAGAAGGAAAACTATCATCAAAGTTCTGCTTGCTGCATTTCTGTTTAACATGTTGGCACCATCATAACAGCTGCAAAATTCTTATTAGACTGATTAACAGCTTATTTGAACTTTTATTTCTAGTTTTAGATCAGTGTAGGTTAATGTATGTTCCAAGCCAAAGGAGAGGATTTGCTCTGTGTGCCAAAAGATGGCACATCAGGTATGAGTTCAGTACAACATGTGCAGGCCCTGCTTCAAAAAAGATGTTTTAATTCAATAGTTGGGTTGGATTAAGGCCAGTTTGTCCTCACAACAGAAGGAAACCTGCACCAGATTCTGTTTGGAAGCTGATTATGACCCGCTAGAAAACTGAGTCATAGTCAGGTGTTTTTATCTGGTGCAGGGTTCATGTGAATTAATTCACACCTGCACCAGATCCAGCAGTTTAAAAGACAATTCTACAGCACACTTAAAAAAAATATTTACACCTCCCAATCTCATGATTGCTAAAAACAAATCTATTAACCAAACATTATCTATATTGTTTTGGCATTTAGGAAACTAAATAAATTTTGGTTAAGCATAACTAACCAGAAAGAGCACCATCTAATTGTATGTCAGACAAATGTCTTTATGTACAGTGTAGGAAATTATGCGCTTCCCAATTGTAAATCTCATCCGTAAATGAGAAGTATACGAGGTTTATTTCACATTTTAATGGATAACCACCTCCACATGAATGCTTTTCTTTCATTTCTTCATTTCCTAATCTTACCAGTGATTATATTAATGAAAACACTATGTCCATGCCAAAAAAGAAAAAAAAAGAAAGAAAAAGAAAATGAAAAAAAAAACAATCTACTGGACTTTGTTTCCAAATTAGAAGACGTTTCGCTTCCCACCCAGGAAGCTTTTTTAATTCTGACAATGTCATGGTCTCTTTGAAGATGCTGTATCAATTTCATAGCTGCAGCTGGACCTCAAACTTTAGGGAAGATTTGTCTTTATTTGGCATCCTGAAGAAAGCCTTTATTAGGAAATTTGTATAGTTTAAGATTTGTCGGTTTAAAATGCTTGCTGCACTTGCATTGCAGTATCCATTATTCACAATCTTTGCCAGCCTAAGGGAATAAAATCTTTTCATAAAGCACAATGACCTCATCTTTACACGACTGGCAAAAAAGCCCCCTGTGGAATATTCCTTAATTACCTTTCTGCAGAGAAAAGAAGAAATATGATTCTGGCTCAGTTTTACTTTTGCTGGGTATTTACCTTTGAAGGAAAACCATTTAAGGAACTCAAAGCATTCTGCTACTGATTGTCAATAATTAAATCTAGATGAAAAAATGAAGGCAGGTCATATCTAACAGACCGCCCTTGCAGTGATTAAGCACCCACTGCAGTTTATTCCGGCGATGAGGTATGTGAAAAACCAAAGGGCGAGCCAACACAATGCCGACACGCTGTGCAGCGTTAAGCAAAGCATCACTTTTGTCATGAGCATCAGTGATTAGATGAGCTGAGCAATCAGGCCCCCCTCTGGGCTTGTTATTATCACCAGACTTTTATCCAAAAACCCAAAAAAAAGGGAAAACACCCATCACGCACTGTGACATCTGAGATCATCCTGTACGGAAACACCACGCACTTGTGACAGGATTCAAGTTTTCCCTCCTAGACGGGCATCAAACTTTCCGAGTCATAGTATTAAAGAGAATTATTGTCACTCCACATAAAATAATTTGGTCTTCAAAAGCAGAACAATACAAAGCTTTAGTACAAATTAAGGTTCAACAGGTAGGCTCGTGTCCGCTGAGGTCTGCAAACATTTGTTTTGCAGATAGCCTCACATTTTCCTCTAGAATACCTATTCATGCTGTAAATTCATTGTCCCCAATGGGGAAAACAAGTTACAGTGTGTCCATTCATCAACCAGAGCAGAAACTTTCTTACAAAACAAAAAAAACACTTTTTTTGATTAGTGAGAATCAGCAAAGAGCAATTGTGCTAGCATTAACCCAGCAGGAGTAGCTCTAGAAGAGAGCGTCTTTGGGTTGTCCCTGGAGGTACTTTATACCGACGACTGCAGAGATGCAGCAGAAAATCTCTAAAGAAAGGCTTGTCTAAACATACCTATCCTATCCTGTTCTTCAGTTAACATTCAGATTGGCCAATTTGTCTTAAAGCTACAGTGTGTAATTTTCAGCGACATCTAACATCCAGATTGCAGACCGCAGCAACATGAACATCTCCCCCCCACCGCTTCTTCCCCCCAACAGTACGGCGAGCGTTACGGGACAAAATGTCTTCCACGACGTCCGCATCACCTACCTTCTCAAGTGATGAGGTTTGTTTACATAGATAATTTTACAGATAGTATTTCATTAGTCTGTGTTCTCAGTTCATCTCTCTCAACTTGCCGTAGTTACTTTCGAGCGTAATGGGCGATCTTGCAATTGCTAGTTTGTTGGCTCTGCGCTGCCGTAGCGCAAAGATGTCTGCCTCCATGGCTGCGAGACCCGCTCCTATGTAATTATAAATAACGAATTCTAAGGCAACGCAAATATTAAGGTTAAGAGGCTGAGCTCGTAGATGATGATAAATAACATAGTTATGTATAATATATTACATTTCTGACTGTATATCCCTGTAATTATGACACACTGTAGCTTTAATATCATAACTGTACCGGGACAGGATCTTGAAAGAAGCTCAGACTTTTCAATATCATCTTTTGTTTTGTGTTCGCTAAAACAGGTGATCGTCCATCAAGATGAAGTACTTGCACCCTTTGTGCCAGGACACCCTGTCTCTCCTAAAGATGTGCTTCTTATCAGGGCCTGCTTTGAGAGGAGTTTGTTTTGTTCTCTCAGCACCGGCAGCAGGCTGGCCCCTTAAGGCATCTGTGCTCAAGGACGGGGCTTTCTCACTGTCTTCTTTGTAAGTCTTTTTTTTTATGACATCTTTTACTTAAAGAGAAGTTTTCAAATATACCTCATGCCTGTTTTTTTAATACAGGGCAGACCAGATATGGGTGATGCTCGTTCGTTCTTATTATTATAAGAATTTATTTTTACAGTGCTACTTTGATTCTCTACACCAATCTCCTTTGTTAGCAGAATTCACTCAGATTCATTTTTCAATTCACAAGAGAATAATATTTAACTCTGTTCTATTCAAAAACCTTTCATTCAAAGCTTTAAGGACTATTTTTTCAACTAGATCCCTTGTCTTGTCAGTTTTTTCAGTCTAGGAGCACTAAACAGAAACTACAGAAACTACATTTTAACTTTTAAACACAAAGTAATTTCAAACAAATCCTATTATCCCTAATCCTTCCTGCAAGTGAGTACAATCACATTTCACCAAGAGCTCATGAAGTTCTGTCATAATTAGATTCTAAAAAGACTGCATAGGCTGTCGAACACAGCACTTGTCAGGAAATGGTTAAAGTGGAGAACACTATTTTTTGGAGGAATATTTAACTTTCTTCCTGATAATTATTCCAAACGAGTTGGCATATTTGAACATTATCACCGGGTAATGACGCAAGTGAACGGCATTGTAAAGGGTGATCTTAACAAGTTAGTTAGAGCCATTTGGTATTGCAGTTGCTCACAGTGTGCTGCTTCCTTCTAAAGGCAAGATGATTGGCTCGCACCTGTGCCTCATCTTCAACACAACCAATCAGCATCCACTTGGTCATTCAGAGCCACCAGCGTCAGAGGCTACAATGACACACAGGCACCATGTGCCAGACGTTTGACGAAAGTTTCAGACACTGGGCGCCACATGAGTCACTGAACACAGCCACCGCCCATGTGTGCCAGGACCTGCGAGTTCACCATGTGTGAAAATGTGACAGAGGACAGTGGTTGACTACCAACTTCCGTCTTGGACGCTCCCCAACACAGTTTGAACAAAAGTTATGATAACACATTCTGAAATGGCAGACTCTTGGAGCTATTCTCAATTGGCAGTGCAGGTTTTTGCTAAGTGCACAATGGCCAAAATAAAAAAGGTGAACTACTTGTAACTCTGAAGAGACCATCTGGATGCAGGAACACTGAGTTATTGCACAGAGGGAGAACATGCTGTGGCTTGGAAGGATTTGTGTCATATTTCAAAGAAAACTTATTTTTGCCAACTTTGTCTATTACTGCAAAAGCAACAGATCTTTTTATTATCAATACATTTACTGAGCTAATATCTGTGGATGTTTTTGGTAGTTTATTCATGGTCTAAAAACTTTATAGATGAGATTTAACCATTTATGCTGCAAGAGGAAGCAATCCTTTTAGATATTATAATCTAGTCGGGTAAGCCAGGTCATTCAGATAATTTGAATTTAAGTCTCTTTGTTTAATGAGGAAGGAGAAGGTTATTCTGAATAAGCTGAACGTAAATAAATTGTTTAGAACATTTTCAAACATGTTAATATAGATGTACTAATATAGATGTACTAAATCTCAGGTGCTCTCAAACCTCTAACAGCCTGTTTCAGGATTGTCTTTCCTTCATTCATACAGGATTCCTTGTTGCTGTTGTTAAATAAGGATCCACTTCACATCATACTGCCACCACCTTGTTTTACAGCATGGATTTGGTGCTCACACTGAGCAATGTGGTTGTTTTCTGTATGTAGATCAAAAAGAACCATGGCTCTGCTGATGCTAACTTTGTGTCAGGAGTCAGTTTGGTGCAGGAAGGCCCAGCTGCAGACTTAAAGAGCTACTTTGCTCCAACCTATCCTCTAATATAGGCCGGGGCTTTAATTTCACTCAGGTACATCTTGGTCCAGGCCATTATTGGAAGGAGGCCAGAATTAGAGGCAGGCCTCTATTTCTATTTGATCAAAACAGACGACCAGTGGAATGATTAAAAAACAGATTTTGTGTCTCCTTGAACCTATAAAATACTAGGTTCATTTATTGAAAAAGTACAGTTACCATAACGGTATACAGAACATTATTCAGAGATCTTCCAGCAGCTGCAATTTTTCTGAACGCCAATACAAAAAAAAAAAAAAAAAAAGACAGAGTGGAATCTTGGGCAAACTGACTTGCGAAACAAAGTTTAAAAAAAAATTAATGGAAACTGCTCTGCCATCATAGCGAAATTTTATTTGAGGCAGGCTAAGTGGAAGTTGGCTACCAGTATCGTATATTTCAAGGTAAATTTAGAACAACGAAGACCAACGAAAATCTGTCATTTTAACGCTGCCTGGTTACCTCCAGACCTACCCGTAATCACATTTGTCTTTCAGATCAAAACGATTGTGAAAGGCCACTACGATCTCTGTGTAAGGATGGGACTTCCCATGCTAATGGCTTGGATTTGTTAGCAAACATTGCCCCCCTGTGGTACTTGTATGTTACTATCACAAGTTGTTGAGGACTGCCCAGGAACATCGTTGGTTTTAATTATAGCCCCGGCCTGTATAAGAGTCCGGCCACTATTTACCTCCGCCGACAGCCAGACAGGCCATTATTAGAGACCCGGCCGCTAATGGAATACAGGCCAATATTAGAGAATTTACGGTAACTTTCTAAATGTGACGGGCGCCGCCATTTTGATTTGCTTGATTCCCTCCTTCTTCGTCTTCTTCTTCTTGTGTTTCATGGTGGTTTGGAAACAACTTTTGGTGCATTACCGCCACCAACTGCTTGATTTCCTCCTTCAATACTGGCAGTAATACCGCAGATCGTCACTAGAAGGCGAGGAGTCGAGGAACCGAGATAGCTTGATGTGTAAACGGTCGTCAGAACTTGGTTAACTGATCCGAGCTAGGACCGGTCTCGGCATGGATCGGTTTTTCAAGGGTAGTGTAAATGGGTTATAAGGCACCAGAAGCAAAAGCAATTCATTCATTTCTTTCAGGTTTGTTGGAGGTTTGTTGCCTTTTAAAGTTTCAGGATGGTAGTTTTTTTTTAAGGTTATGATTTGGGAACCCTTCATTTAGGGTAACGCCACATCTTGTTCTTCCATTTCCCCACCAAAATTTGTGGTTTTAAAGTGATTTAAAATAACATTTTCAAGAATTACAAACAACTTTGGAGGCAGCAACCTTTTAAACTTAACTGTGATCATTGTTTGAGTTTTGAAGGACAGGAAAAAAAAAAAAAACTTCCAAAAATCATGGCTTGGCTGCAATTTGTTCACAGAAACAAATGTAATGGAGTACACCAGGTGGGTGTTGGTAAAGTATACCAGGGAGAGCACAATTTGTATGGAAGGAGACAAAAAATGCTAGGTGATTGTTCTATCAAAATATACAGCATGGGTGTCAGAGGTCATGGAAAAGCACAGGAGAGTCAATGAAATTTGTCATTTTGATTTCCTTTTCTTAATAATGCAGCTGAAAATGTACTATATGGGAAATTGCTGTCCCACTGGTGGAAAATCCTAAATAAAAGACAAGTGTTTCTGTTTTCATGGCAGTGGGGATGTTTTAGGTTGGGAAAGGAGTCCAAAAAGTCTTTAATTGAGGTGACGAAATCCCTCTGAGAGCAGAGGCTATTGGCTACGTGTAACATGATATTCTGTTGTGCAACATTTACAGTATCTAATAGCAGTAGAAAAGGTGAGAGCCTTGAAAGAATGCATCTCTGTAATTCTATCAGTAAATTAGCTATGACTCATTAAGCTGAGCCGTCCCCCGAGGAAAGTAAATATTTTTATAAGAGATGAAAAAGTGCAATCAAATTGGATAAGGCAAGATTTGCTGAGTGGGCTCTATGTCGGTACTGGAAGTTTTGAAACCTGGCAGCTGCTTATTTATTTATTTATTTATTTGTGAAGGACAGCTTATTTTTTTTGTCTGGTTGTTTTTTCAAACCTTTCATCTTTTTTTCTAAGACTTTGGGTGTGTTGTCTGGATGGAAATACTACAGGGCTATCACCTGCCCCATTCAACTGTAAGAGACACAATAATGCTGAAAATATATATGGCTCCAACAGATAATTTGTGGGTAAGAGACTCCAGTTGTGATGTGAATGTAACTTTTTGGTGTGGATGTCAGGGTACACAATACAAATCCCTCAACACAGATTTATCACTTCAAAAGGCCTCAATTACAAGGGATTATCACGACCTTTCCGTTAAGCATCCCAGATTTCAGCGATGATTGTGAGAGCTGGAATGCCATCCTCTCTATTGTCAGGGACGAGCAGCTCATCTCCACAGGTGAGAAACAGATGCCAAGTTTCCACAGGCTAGGATTATCAAACAAAAAATGAAACAATACAATTTTTAAATTGCTGATATCCATGTCTGCACAACAGCTGCTCAAGTAGGTGTTTAAAGGAAACAGGAAGAAGGATAAAAACAATTTAAATGTCTTCTGTCAAGATTGTGGAAAATAGGTTAATCAGGTCTTCTCACATGATGCCAGTAAAAGCCATTACTTGTGCTTTAAATCTGTATCCACACTCTTTCGAGAGCTGGGGAGCCTTAAGATATCAATGGGGAAGACAGAAAAACAACGATGCGGGACACAGACAGTTCTCAAAGAGGCTGTTGGGACCAAGAAGTGGAAATAAAGAGCAGAACCCTAAGCTGGCCCTGATAAGTGAGCCCACTCAGGGTCATTCTGGTCGTGTCACATCAGAGACCATTACCAATTTACTATTAGCCCTCATTAGGTGTAAAGGGGCTTACTCACAATCCTGACATGTCTTTCATTCACTGATGATGACCGGTCCAACCTGAGCAGTATCCACTGAGCTTTCATGCATGGATAAACTCAAAAAGCATCACCTAAGGCATCCTTAGCTTATATCCAGTCCTTTGTGGTATAGCCCATATTTGGACACCAGAGAACTCCCGTTTAACATTGACACAAGTTAAACAGTTGTTTTGTTGCAACTCAATGAAATGTTGCACATATGTATAGAATGTATGGACTCTGCAACTTAAACGTATCCAGTTATAACCCTTT